CTAAAAACCAATGGCAAAAATATCCTCAGGTTAGGATTAACCAAAAAGAAAAAAGAAGATCCTGAAATTTGAAATATTACTATTAGAATTCATTTTATGCTAAACCAATGACATTATTAAAATACAAGCATATCTCAATTAGTATTAGGTGAGCAAAAGACTCTTAAAAAGTGACCCAATATTATGAACAGTTATTTCTTTTATGCACATAAAGCCCAAGGGAGGTACTTATGTGGTGACTCCAACACTATCAGGGACTCAAGTCCTTCCAGATCTCTTCTCTGTCACGTCGAGGTTACATAAATGTAATCTGCTCCAATATGGCTGCTAGAGCTCCAGCCATCACATCTATGTTCTAAGCATCAGTATGAAGGTAGGGAAGAGGAGCAAGTTCTACCTCAACATTCCAAGTAGAGTTCTTACAAAACATACATAATACTTCACTAGTTACAAAGGAGCCTCTAGAGACTTAGCTGGGAAATCATGTGCCCAGCTAAAAATTAGTGCTCTCTTAATTTGAGTGAGTTGGGCAGGGCAGAATAACTATTGGTAAGGAGCTGGCTGTCTCTTCTAGACCTGGGGGGGGGGGGGATTTTACCTCATCATTCATAAGCCTTGATGTGTATAAGCCTATCAGCTACTTTCTGAAAGTGAGATTTTATAGGTAAGGAAGACTGAAGAGTACCTGAGGGCACTAGGCAAGAGCGAGACAAGGCTGCTGACCAGGCTGGGTGTAGGATATTCAAGACGAACCTCTACTTTACAGTTTTGCTCAGAGCCAGCATTAGCCCCAATTTCATCTTTCTTATTTATTCATGTGTTCGTTTAAAGGATTTGGATTCTATACTAACCGGGAAGGGCTCATGTCTCAGATATTTATTTTGTTCCAATGGACTAAATTTTTAAAAAAGATTTGATCATTTTGCTTGTGTTCTTTCCCCTCTTTTATAGAGGAACACCTTCTAATGCCAAGATGGGTTTTGGACTTCCAAGCTTATTACATTCATCTTTGTGAGTTTGTCTCTCCCTTCCCATCAACCCCGAAGGGCATGGAAAAATGGCATCATATTGATAAAACGTGATGCCTTCCAAGACAGTCTTTAAATCTCCTATGTGCAAAATGGTCAAAATGAATAATTCAGGCCAACTGGAGTGAACATTTCTCTATGGACATTTCGGGTGAAACTAGCTGGCTTTGCAACGTGGTTCTCTTTATAAACTAGCAACATTTATTTACAATGTGTCTGGGGGACAGGCCAATTTCTTAAGTAATTGAAATATATGTATTTAGTACTTTCCAGCATTTTTGCTTTTGGAACTAACTTATAGAATAGAGCCTCTGACCATGCCGCGCCTTGTCAGAATCACTGGCAGAAACTTCATAAATTTTTCAGTTTCCAAAAATTTCACTTGCTTCCAATATCTAATATTTTGGTGCCTTTAATCACAATAAGACAGAAATTTGAGGAGGACATTGGAGGAGAAAAGAGATGATAGGAAAAGAAAAGATGAAGATTCAATTGGGAATTTTATAATGCGTATGAGGTTTGCGTCAGAGAAAACATTTGCACAAACACCTGCAAATGTAAAGACCCCTTCCTACCTAAAACGGTACGGTGGCTGCAAACTGAACACCGGCTGGTCTCTGGGTGGCCTTTGCTTTCACCCTGTGCCGGTTATACCACCCAGTTCCTCCTCCCCTATCCCCAGCACTGGTTAGTAGTGTAGATTTTTCTTCAGGATGTTGGCGAGATCGGGAAAAGGATCTGCATTGCACACCGTGCAGTAAATTATCTTTATCTAGAAGACGACTTAGAGCAAAATAAGTGATCCTTGACACTTAAGGAAAAATGCTGTCTTTGGTAGCCCCAGTCTGTCTCTCCTGCTTTTTCCATCACAGAGGTTTCTCTTCTTCTGTGCTCTATTCTCCTCCCCCTTTTGCCTCTTCCTTCTCCTAAAGGCTGGTGGGGGCTTAGTTACCGTCCCATGGGACGTATGAATCGTCCATTAAGACAGGGATACAAATGAAAGAGAAGAAGCTCGCCTGTGGAATTTTAGGCAGAGTGAATAATGGAAAGAGCTGAGCACTGGAGCCAGAGCGCGCTGGAACTGACTCCCAGGTCTGTCATTTAGAAACTGACTGTCTTGGGCAAGTTATTCATCTTTTCTGAGTCACCGTTTCTTTGTTTATAAAATTGAAATAATAACACCTGCCTCATAACCATTTGAGAATTCAATGTATATAAAATTTAGTACAATATCAGATGCATGGTTGGCATTCAGTAAATATTAGTTCTCTTACCTTATCATAAGGGAAATGGGAGGGTTGTTGGGGCAAGTCATTGGGGTTTTCTCAGTATTCGAATATGCTGGGAACAGTGGGGGGGGCTGGTGGAGATTGCCAATAAGTTTAGGGAAGTAAGTTAATTTGATTGTATTGATTTTTCCAATCTCTCCTCTTAACTACTTTTTTTAAAAAAGGTTTTATTTATTGATTTCAGAAAGAGAGGAAGAGAGAGAGAGTTTTGTTGTTCTACTTATGTATGCATTCACTGGTTGATTCTTCTATCTGCCTAGACCAGGGATCGAACCCGCAACCTTGGCATATAAGAACGATGCTGTAATCATACTGAACTACCTGGCCAGGGCCTTCTCAACTATTTCTGGTGTCTGAAGTGTCCTGGTATCAAGGAAAATGGGAAACTAAACAGGACATCCTTCGTGAACAAGAAATCAAAACCAACAGAGCAGAGGGGTTGGGTGGTTTTCACCCATTCACTGATCAAACAATTTTACCAGATTCTTTGTGTTCTCTAGATCCACTTTCTCTCTTGGATGGTGCTGATTGAGTGATAAGTTTTGTTTCTCTAAGCTTCATTTTCTGTGCTGAGCACTCTGGAGCCAACACATTCTTTTATCACATGTGTTAATATCACTGTCTTAAGATCTGTCAAAATGAAGAATAACTTCCTTTTCTGTGCCAGACTTGATTAGATAGTCTTCACTACAGAGAGTCAGACCTTTCTTGGCACCAAAATACAGGAACTGGGCACAAATCTCACAGCTCGTTTGGCCCTTTGTGGAGCACGGTGCCCAAACAGTTTTCATAGTACTAGCACTGGCGTCCTCGCTCTGCCGAGACTCAAGTGTCTGCCATGGTCATGTGTCTGTGATTGGGAGCGGATGCTGCAAAGCCTCTATTCCAGATCCAGGTCATCCTTTAGGAAGTGAAGATGGTCCTAAGACTTCTGAAAAGTAATCTTTCTTGGGGCTAGATTGTAGATCCTGGGTAAAATTGTCTTGTGCCTTTCCCCAAGGTAAAAATGCCCAGTCTTCTGCCCATAATGTGATCTTATTAGCATTTTCTTCGGGTTTGTTTGGAAAAACCATTGCCATGTTTTTATAAAAAATTATTGAAAAGATAGATAGATAGACAGAGATATATAAAATAAATACTAAGCACAATAGCTTTAAAAAGACCATCAAACAAAGTCTGGGCTTCTTCATCCCAGGGATGATATGCACATACACCACCAGGAAGAGCAGAGGCCTGAGCTGTATTTGTAGCCTGATATTTATGGCCACAATTTATTAATATTCCATTCCCACAATAAAGAAAAGTGGACACCTGGTAAGGTATATTTACACTCCCTCTGAGAGTTTTCATAATATTTTCAGAGTATTTCATAGTAGTCTCATAATATTGACCATTGAATTACTTCTTCTGAAGGAGTTTTTAACCTTAGACCCTCGGACCCTCAACAAGCCTAGCATATTACTATATCTCAAATAAAATACATATAACAAGTAAAAATATTTGATAAGTTATTTCAATAAAATTAGTTTCACTTGTGCCCAGCCTGTGTGGCTCAAGGTTTGAGCATCTACCTATGCACCAGGAGGTCCCCGGTTCTATTCCAGGGCACATGCCCAGGTTTCGGGCTCGATCCCCACTAGGGGGCATGTAGGAGGCAGTCAATCGATGTGTCCCTCATTATCGATGTTTCTATCTCTGTCTCCCTCTCCCTGAATCAATAAAAATATATTTTAAAAAATAAATAAAAATCAATATATTTTTTAAAATTAGTTTCGCTTATAATAGTAAGACTTTTATTTTTTGCTTTTAATATCATTATTCTGAAAAGAGGTCTGTAAGCTTCAAAGAACTGTCAAAGGGACCCATGGCACTAGATCTGCGTTTCATTCATCTGATTTTTACAGGTTTTGGTTCTCTCTCCTATGATCTCACCACCGTGCCTCTGATGGTCTGTGTCATATGTGTCCATGATGCTCTGTAAATGTCGCTCTTTCATTGGGCAGAACACTAGTTTCTTTTTTTTATCCTCACCCGAGGATATTTTTCCATTCTTTGTTCAGGTAGAGTGGGAGGGAGAGAGAGGAAGAGAGAGAGAGAGAGAGAAACATCGACGTGAAAGGGACACATGGAGTGGCTGCCACCGGCACAACCAACCAGGGCCGGGGACAAACTGCAACCAAGGTACGTGCCCTTAGCGAACCTCGGGTCTCTTGGGACCACAGGTCGACGATCTAACCGCTGAGCCAAACCGACCAGGGCTCTAGTTTCAATACAGAAACAGTGAAATTCATAATGGAAATTTTCTTCAAATTGATTTCAACACTACTTGAAAAAATCCTATGTGCTACTTGCTGTGCTAGCCAAAGAGGATACTAGGTTAAAAAAAACAAAACAAAAAAAACTGCTCTTTATCAACTTTCAGTCTAACAGGGGTTAGTGTGTGTGTGTAATAACTTCTTGATTTTCCCCCCCACAGATCTTGGAGGCATCTGGGGTTAAGGGGCACTTTCCAGTGTCCCAGACTGCTGCCCTGCAATGAAACTCGGAATCACAGTCTTAGGTTTAGTGTATAGGCTACAATGTGGAACCCCAGGACAGCCACATGAGTAACCTTTGCTCTAAGAAGCCCCAAATGTTTCTGGGCTGAAACCAGAGCAAGGACTAGAGAAAGATTTCTTTGTGAATGGCAAGAAGAAAGGAAAAAAAGGTTTCCAGAAACTTGCAACAGGCTTTCCACCATTCTAAAGAACCCACCTTCCTCATCAACCCAGCCGTTCTGTCTGGCGACTCCTACACCAGCCTTTTGCCAGAAATAGAGCTCGTCAATCGTGGTGAAAGAATAAAGACAAACCCTCAGAAAAGCAGACCTGGAACTGTGATACTCTCAAAACAGTCCGCTAGGAGAATGATGTCGGAAAGCCAGCCCAGGCCCCCAGTGATCCCATCCCGCAGGCCTGGATTCCGGATATGCTACATCTGTGGCCGAGAATTTGGGTCCCAGTCACTCGCTATCCATGAGCCTCAGTGCTTGGAGAAGTGGCGTGTGGAAAACAGCAAGTTGCCCAAGCACCTGAGGAGGCCAGAACCCTCCAAACCACAGCCTCTCGGCGGCGCTGGGACCTACACTCTTGAAGCTATGAATGAGGCAGCTTTCGAGAGTTCTCAGGCTCAGCTGCTGCCCTGTGAATCCTGTGGCCGCACGTTCTTGCCAGACCGTCTTCTCGTTCACCAGAGAAGTTGCAAGCCGAAGGGTGAGGGGCCCAGGGCACCAAATGCCAACAGACCTAATGATCTTACTGGTCTTAAGAAAGCTTCTGGTGGCATCCCAGCTCGACCAAGGACTCTCATCTGCTACATTTGTGGTAGGGAATTTGGCACGCTCTCCCTTCCTATTCATGAGCCCAAATGCCTGGAAAAGTGGAAAATAGAAAATGACCGGCTCCCCAAGGAGCTCCGCCGGCCACTCCCACAGAAGCCTCAGCCCCTTTTCACCGGACAGGGGCCAAGTCCAGCTCAGCTTGTGCCCTGCCCAAACTGTAGCCGGACCTTTGCCCCCGACCGCCTTCTGGTGCACCAGAGAAGTTGTAAAGTTCAACCAAGTAGACCACAAGTTCAGAATTTGACCTTAGGGGGTAAAGGTGGCCTCAAAGAGCCCACTAATTTCAAGCAGCAAAGGGATATGGCAGCATCCACGGTGACTGATAAGGTAATTCATACCACATGAGATGCACTGGTCGGACCCGGGAGTACATTCTGCCTCCAGGGGGAATGAGAGAAAAATGACCCAGAATCAACTACCTCCACCCCCAGAATGGTTTCTTTCCATGCCTTATTTCTGCTCCGATGCAGCCTATCCAAGTTGACTCTTGGTCACACTCCAGGGGCTGTATCTCTGATGGCAAAGTAGACATCAGGACATCCTTGCCTGGTGGGTTCACAGTCCTCCTCCATTCTGCTGCCTAAAAGAGAGAGAGAGATGGACTTCTTTCTTCCCTGATCCCTTCTACCAATAATCCTTGGGAGAGACTGTTATTTGAAAATGAGTCATTAATGCTATGTCTACATTACAGAGCTGTAATTCCCGTTCCAAAAGCCAATATTTATTACCAGTTTATTTTAGTCATCTACCTTAGGAATTCATTTTTGGCAATGCTGGATTATGCTGAGTTTATCTTACTAAAATAGAATCTGTGTCAAAAACCCCAAATGACTTTAGCAATAATTAAACACTGGAGCACTTGCAGAAATAGACATGCTCTGCGAATACATGTTTTCTGTTAACACTTATATGATTGTAGTATGTGGGAAATTGACCTCAGTGTAGACACCCAAGCAGCTAGGTGTGTGTTCATGGTTCTAGGAAGTGCTGAATTCCTGCGGCTGCCCTCTCTGTACTTTATGTTTGGGTCAGACACCAAGCTCTGTCTTGCCAGTTGGGCAATTGTAGATAAGCATTACCCCAGGGGTTCCCAATCATATGGTGACGTGTAGTTGGGTATTCACTAGAAGTTTCTTCATCAATCAGGATTGGGGAAGGATGCTTATGAGGGTGGCTACCTGCAAAGCAGGGCATGGTCCATGGTCTTTGTCCTACCATTGGGCCAGGGGAGTGGATGTGCTATCCTACCAATGTGTCACACCTTACAGAATGTCAAATTATAAGAAATAGGAAGTGTTCAGTCTTTTTTTTTCTACGACTTGCTACTTGCAAGAGTCTTTAAATGGACTGTTTTAGGGAAACGAAGGTTACTCGAGTTACTGTAAAAGATGAAACCAGAGGGAATGTGTATGGGTGGGAGGGGCAATCTTTTATTTTTAATCCAGTTTTTCTTCCTTACTTTTTTAATGCATTATTTTGGCAAATGTCCAGTGTTTTTCCCTAACTTCCATGTTTAAAATGAAATGATTGTGGACTTGCTGGGTTAGAAGATTTCAAGACAATGATCCTACAGCTGAAGAGTCAGACTGGCGGAAGCTGGGTAAGTTCCCTGATGAACATTGAAGAAAGAATGGCTGGTTTCTTTGCCGAATGAAAACCCAAACTCTGAAGTGTGGCATGGACTACAGGCTGGTCTCATAAACATGATCTGTTTTTCCCATCTTCTGGCTGTTGCTTTTCTTCCAAAACATGTGAGGTCTGGATTCAAAGAGCAAAAGGATCGTGTCTCAGGGTCACAATTGGAAACTCTGATAGTGTGTGACTTTCAGCCCTGTTTCCTGATTGTATGCATTTACTTCAAATGTTCTCATTACAGATCTTGAGATAGGGAAGAGTGTGGTCAGGATTCTTGGGCTTGTTGTTGTAACACATACTTTGTGCTCCCAAGAGCGGAGCCAACAGGCTGAGCACAGCATGTTCTCACTCAGTCACGACTGCTAAAAGAGGCTGGCCTGAGCCCACGGCTTCACAAGAAGACACCTCCTGACTCACGCAGTCGTCTGGAGGGGAGAATGTCAGAAGGAGAGGCCAGCGATGGCCCTCAAGGGACTCGTGCATTTAGTGTAGGGGGAGTTCTTCAGAACAAGGGCATATAGAAGACATAGCTGTGCCAGAGCATAGCCAGCTCTGCTCCCAGACATGAAAAGGCACGTGTCAGTGAGCCGCGGGCGCCCACGGCTGTCAGATGTGTGCTGGCCTGTTTGGGGACGGACCATGCAGGCTTTAGTGGAGGTCATAGAAAGGTCATCTGACTTAGGGTCCCTTTAGTTGCCAGATTTAAAGCAAACTCGTTTCAATTACAATGCAGAACTCTCCTCGGTTGCGGAGGCACAGGATTCTTGACACAATGGACTTGATGCCTTCGCTGAAAAAAAGGTGTTTGCCATGCAAAGGTGCTTTCAGCAGAGAGAAAGGCTGTCCTGGGATACTGTCGTGTTTTGTTTACGATTTGATCCTGTCTATTGCCGTTTTTCTTTTATTTGTTTAACATTTAGATAGGGCAGTGAATCACGCATTTTCCATAAAGAGTTCTGCCCTATGCATTATTAGATTTCAGGATTTCATCTGCCTGTGACGGTCGACTTTGGGCCATGATGCACACGCGTTCTTTTTACAGTTCAAATGTCTCCTTCATTTCTTCTCTTGTCAATATAACAGTTTCCCTCTGGAATCCTTGATCTGACTTCTGATTAGAATCACTGATCTTGCCTGATGTCCTCAGGGGGCTCAGGCTTGCATCAAATTCAGGTGAGAAAAATATTTTCAGAACCCTGATCACAGTGCTTGGAAACAATTCACTCCAATTGGGCAACGATGACTGTTTCATTGGCGGAGTGAATTACCTTCTGCTCAGAATGTTCTTCCAACAGAGATTGGCTCAGTTCTCTTAGGACACAAATGTTTCTGTCACCTTTCAGTCATTTCTAAACAAACATAAACAGACGCCACTAAGGCAAGTTCTCTTCCCAGACCTCGGTGGGCACTTTGCACTCTGCTCTGTAATGACCGTCCAGGCGTGCATTGTCCTCTTGCTTCCCATTCAAAATACAGGGCTGGCTTCACTCCTGATCTCGCAGGAAAGTTGTGAAGCCCTCACTGTGGCTGTGTAACTGCTGGTACTTTTATTTAGAAGGTGTTGTTCTCCCATAAGGTGTCCCCAGCAGCACCCAGCTCCCTTTTTTTTTCTTTAATAGAAGGGAAGCCTGAATAAGCAATACCCAATATAGCAGGATTGTAATAGTGGTATTAATCCCAAGAGAAATTTTGATGCATGATATGGAAAACCATAGATTATAATTTTAAATTTTAATATTGCCTTTATTTAGTGAGATCCTTTGATGTCTATTTTAGTAATAGTTTCCTAAGTAATGCTGAGGAGTACAGTAACAGAGGTCATTACTGCTCCATTTTAATATCAGTGAATAAATTGTTTTCTTTTTCTACAAGCCAATAGGTTTTTTTTGTTTTTTGGGGTTTTTTTGGCTTTAGGTCTTTTCCAGCTAATTGGAACCCAGATTGACAAAGTTAATTAAATATAACTACAAACCAAAATGGAGCCTTTGTCTAATTATCTTTTATTGGTTCGCTGATGCTTGGAGTTATTTCCTTAGGATTATGCTTGTAATGTGAAACCCATTTCCTAAAATCCTTTACTATATTACAAAGTAGACATTATGTTCTGTTAGGGAAGCTATCTTTTCCATAAATGACTGTGCCAATGTAGTTTTAAGCCCTCTTTGACATCCTAGATGCTCAAGTTTAAGCTAAAAGTCCCTTCAGATACCTCTTTAGCGTCTGGTGCTGCCACCTGGTGTTTTCTTTTAAAGTAGGGTCTTCTACACTATCAAAAATATGATTGCCTTTCTCTTTCTGTTACCTCCAAATACATTTAAGAAAGTACCCTTATGATACAAACTTCTGTTATTTAGGGCTTAAGTTACATATTTGGTTTAATGTTCTAAATTCTGTTTCATGGCTAAGTGTCTCCTTCTCTAAAGGCAAAACTCTCCGTAGGAAGGTCACCATCAGAAAGGCTCAGAAGGGCAGAATGGATGGTCTCATGTTGTCAAAAGTTTTGTGTATGCACATATGCCCTATTAGGTAAGAAATATTTGAAGTTTATTGGGAGGCATGGAAGAAAGGGAACTTTATAAAGTACTTTTATGATCAGCACTTTATAGAGGTGACCTCATTTTAATCTTCGTAATATTACTAAAAGACAGATAATATTTTCTCCACTTTCCAGGTGAGGCAACTGAGATTAAGCAACTTGACCAAAGTCACACAGTGGGTTTGGCAGTGAGTGTCACAATGAGATCTGTGTAGTTCCGAAGACCCATTATCTTCTCATCTCACTGAGAGAGAGGTTTAATGTAATACGAAAAGGTTTATGGCTATCTTGCCAGGCTGTGAGTGTTAAGTAGGACAAAGAGGACAGAAGTTTGTTCATTCAACAAATATTTACTGTTAGGCATTGGCTAAGTACTAAATATAGAGTCATTAAAAAGATAAACACAGTTCTTGATCTCATTTCTCAGGGAAGAAAATACAAAATAAATAAATATAAAATATGAAATTGTGATATGACAGTGTCTGTTGGTGGGCGTGGACAGTCAGGATCTTGAGACAGAAAAACCTCTGGGATATTTCAGCTGAGACACAAAACATATGAATGCAGTAGCCAAGAGTAAAGATGGGGGAGGGGGAGGCACGAGGAGGAGACAGCTGGCCAAAGGAAGTATGTGTGAAGGCCTTGAGGTAAGAAAAATCTTCAAATGGAACTAAAAAGTCCACAGGTGGCCAGAGTCTAATGGAGCAAGGACCAGGCACACAAGACAGAGCTGTAGAAACAGCACTGTTCTCTCCCGTTGTCCTGTGGACATAGTGACATCAGTTTGGCTCCTGCAGGAATCCAGGTGGGAGCTGATGATGGCGTGGCCTAGGGTGTTGGTAGCAGAGATGGAGATGAGGCATAGTGAGCAGAACTTGGTGATAGTTAGGATGTGGAGGGGTGAGGAAGGGGGTCAAGGACGACTCTGAGATATCCAGCTGGAGCAACTGCAACTAGCCGTGCTATTTTCTAAGATGGGGAAGATTTGAGAAAGGGTAGCTCTTGGGGTTTAAGGTAAATAGTTCCAGTCTGGGCATATCAAATTCAAAATACTTATGAGATATCTAAGTGGGTAGGTCAAGCTGAATGTGTATGTCTGGGTTTCAAAAGAGAAGTCTGACTGGGCTGGGATATACATTTGTGCAGTATTTAAAGT